ATCGTGATTTTGCTGTAACAATAACTCTCAATGTACATATGGGCATTTTAGCATTGTAGTCATGTTTGCTTGAAGAAATGTGTTTAGTTATTCATTTGCTTCTTTTATTTATTCTCCTGTCAGAAGAGAGAGGTCTTTGCAACAACAACCTGAGGCTGGTGAGAGACCACACAACAGAGCAGAGGTACAAACTAAAACATGCTGTTCAGTCATCTGAAAACTCATCTCGTAGGTGCATCACATCCTTCTTTGACTACTTTCTTCACCCAAATTAACCACGCTCTCCTTTATCTGTTTCCCAACCTGATGGCTCAAAACCTGTTTAATTGTACATGTGGGCACCATATACAACATATGACTGTTAAGACTTCAAAAACTTTTCCTTCCCACAATAAATTAAGCAGCTTTTATCCAGCCATACTTCTGGCACACTGTTCCCCTGTTAAAATGAACAGACAGGACTGTCATCTTGTAAATAATAGTGTAAGTAAAATATGAATACTATTGACCTCTGCTGGTGAGCACAAGGTATTACAACACAAAACAGATTTTCAGTATCAAGCTTCAGTACTTTGGTTTTTTTTGGTTTAGCAAATTAGGCTGAACACACTCATGGTCCTGTCATGCTGCAGTGCAGTAACAGTCTTATTTACTACCTTAAGTCACACCTGAGTTCTGTTTGTCTTGTAAGCAGTACATGGAAAATGTAAAAGTCCTCTTGTCTATGTGGCAGGAGACAGATGAACTTCATGCGAGCGTACAGTGCGTTAGGAACCAGCCAGAGGCTCTCTACTCCAACTTCAGCCCAGCTCAGCCCCTCAGAAACAAGGAGGAGGTTGTTTACGCGACCCCCATCTTCAACAGTGCCGCAGGGTGAGCAGCTCTTCACACAGGACAATCTTTGTTGCTGTTTAATTTAAATAAAATACACATTCAGTTTGAAAGTGTCAGAGAATTTAATCTCACATTTTTGCTGTTGCATGTGTCTTTTTATGGTTTTATGTTTCTTGTTAAGTGTTTAATTATTGATTTCTTCACAGAACAAGGCGTCAAGCAGCTGTGGAGGATGTATCTGCCCTGTACAGCAGAGTTAATAGAAGCCACTGAGTGTGATGACAACATGGATCTGTGGTCTGTATTTATGCATGGACTTTCGATGGGCCCATTAAATTTTTCCTCAAGACAGAATTGGTTAAGAGTGCAAAATTAAGGCAACAATATTTCATTTATATCTTATATTAATGAAGGACAGGTAGATTAAATATTAGATACCTCTCTAACGGTTACATTAAAACCTTCATGAAAGTAGGATTTATCACAGGACAGTTGTGTTGAACGGCATTAGTTTTAGATCAGTGTACTTAATAATACACTTCCATCTTTTCAGGACAATGTTTTTTTTCTTGTCTTTTTTTTTTACTGTTTTGATTATTATATGATCACAACTGTTACAATGTAAGTCATTCACATCTATTGCCAATATTTTTATGCTCATTTTCTGAATTTGTATTTTATTGTCATTTCAAACTGAGTATTTACATTTCTTTACATGTTTTGTATTGTTTTTTCTTGCATGGGAAATAGTGAGTAAGACTCCTTGTGTTTGGCCTGATGAGTGACAGCTTGGAAACACTTGTACAAAATGTAAATGGATATAAACTTTATTTTTAGCTGCATTTAAGTCTTTGACATGGAGTTTGTATTCCAATCTGATTACATCTTTTTGAAGTTGTAAAATCTTAAATGAAAAGCGCTCCATCATTTTGGGGCATGCATTAACTTTGAAAACAACAGTTTTTAGCAGTGAAACAGAAACCAATCTGTACACATGATGATGCTAACAGAGCTCATAGCAGGGCAGAATGTCATTTATCCAGTTTGTCTCTTACTAGTCTGAAGTGTGGTGATTGAGAGTTTGTGAGACCATAAATATTATTTCTCATTAATGTTAAAGTTTAAAATTATTAATAAATAGTTAAAGGACCACAAGACAAAGGTTTATCTTAAAACAAAAGTATTTGCTGTATCATTCATCTTGTTCATACTGGACATTTAGAGAATTAGACAAACAAAGTGCTCATCTCCCAAAGTTACTGTCCTTTTAGTACAAACTCCCCACTTTGTGTTTACAGGACAGCGTTTCTTCCTGAGCTGCCGTGACAGAGGGGACAGGGACAGAAGAGGGAATATCCTAATGAAGAAGACTGTAATAGACTTCTAACTTTGTTTGTCTAAACCAGACATCATATTAGGATCAGATACTAATTGGAGTGTATTTCTGCACAGACTGAGGACTGCTTGTTCTGAATCAGCAATTTTCTTAAAAAAGTCAAATCTTCATGTGGCAGATAAAAGTCTGCTGAGCACCTTCTGATTCCATACAAACAGTTAGTGATCCACAACTCAAAGAAAGACTCCTAAATTTCCAATAGTTCCTTTTGCAAGCACAGAAACAAATGTTTAATATATGAACTCTCCTTCAGAAAGCAATGAGGTGATCAGTAGCAGTAGCCAGCTGCCCACAGAGGTAACCACACCTGCCTGTAAAATCTCTCAAGCTGTTTGTGTCTGTGAGGGAATTTAGGCCAGGTTAATGGAGGTGACCTGTCACACTTAACCTGTCTTCTTGCGTCTCGTGTCTCACGCCTCATGTCTCTGGCAGGGTGCTGCTGAAAACGACACAAAACCGAGGAAGTTGACATGATGTGGACGAGTTTAGAGTTGAATCAATATACACCACACGCTTAGTAAATTAATTTTATGAATTCAATTGGATCTGAAATAACAGTGGTTTTATTTATCCGCTTTATTATACACTGCTTACAAATTGTATGTTGTATGTTGTATGAAGAAATGCAAATCCCAACAGCTTAAAATGATTTAATATTATCGTGGTTTAAGGTTAAAGTTAGGGAAGCGGTTGGTTTTAGGCATTAGTGTTTATGCTTAGGGTGAGTTTCCAGGAAATCAATGTAAGTCAACACAGTGTCCCCTCAATTTGTGTGTGTGTGTGTGTATGTGTGAAGACATTTGAAACCCCAGTACATGAAGTGCTATAAATAAATGTTTCTTACTTACAAGTTGCCAGATCTAGATAAACCTTTGGAGGTGATGCAATCTGCCTCTCTGGCCTTTTCACAGTATGAGGTCTGTGGGGAGAGAATCAAGCTCCATATGCTGGTCTAATCCAGTCCAGGTGGTCCTGTCTGCTCCTATTAGAAGAGCTTGGGACCAGAGGAGCCTCCACCAGGCTGACTTTAAATCAGAGAGGATAGCTGAGCTAATATGATACTGTGCTTACATAAAAATCACCCAGGATTTGCTCTGCCTCTGACTGCCGGACTCCAAAATTGAATCTGAAGTAATGATGCATTTTTATGCATACTAGTCCATCTAAATCTGGTTAGGTTGTGTCAGTAGGTTGTCAGGAGGATCAGAGAGCTGATCAATCAACGGCACTTTATCCCTATTAACCTGCTAACACGTCCTGTTTTTTCAGGTGAAGGAGCAAGAGCAGAAGTTGTGGAACAAGTGCACTGAAGAAGCAGGCGAATGCTGCTCAAGTGTTTGCATGTAATATTCCTTACAAATTGATGGTAGTTCCTTCAGTTACGAAAACTATATCAAATGCTCCTTTTGTTAAATGAAATGATCTTGAATACAGTTGTTATAAACTTCAATCAAGGCTTCTGAGCACATTCCATGATCAGTGATGGCAATGAAAATAACCATGAATAAATAAATAAATAAATAACCTACACACAAACAGTCACAAGTACTAGTAATGTTGGGGTGTAAAGTGACAACACACATTGAGTCAAAAAACAAGTTCAGATCTTCACCAGCCTGTTGGACAATTACACTCCTTGCATCAAATCAAACCTGGGTTTTATAATATTTGTGGGGTTTGTTTCTAACCTCCTATGAGCCTACAATGGGTGGGGTTACCTACATCAGGACAACTTCATAAAGAAGCATGTGGATAGGGTCAGTAACCCCTCTTAGGTTTCCTTATCGCAATATTGTTGCCTAAGACGTGCTTAGCAGTTATGAAAAAATATCAGTTTCAGGCGATCAAAGTTAATTTCATGTGCGAGGTGTTTCATAAATATACAGCATGTAAGATTGGCTGAAGACATCGAAAGTGCATCATATTCTGTACTTTTAAAGCAATCGTATATTGAATATGTTACCACCTTGATTTCATCTTAGAGCTTTTTATACTCAAATGAATCACTTAACCTTTTTCAGTACTAGACTCATCTGAACCTGCAGACCTGAACAGCCACAGCATCAAACAGTGTTTCTCAGCAGTTGATGGTTTAGAGCATTGCAATAATGCATACTTGTGTTAAGTTGGGGGACTAATAACTATCGAAGCAGCAGAGGCCGAGAAATCCTGACTTTTACCCCCTAGTAGGAGTTAGGCTATAATGAATCTAAAATCTCTACATGCTACACTTCCTAAAATGCAACTCAAAACCATTTCTCACTAAAAACGCTGTGTTAACGTGTTACCCAATGAGCATCTCTCCGTCTTCTACCAGAGCCATGTTTTAAAGGCTGTGTAGAAGTTCTCGTTCCAAGTAAACTGACCTTCATGTGTAAATTTCCCCACCCACACTTTGCCTGACAGTCTGGGGATTTCAACTGGCAACTTGTGAGTTACAAACCTACATTTCTGAGCTCTTTCTGGAACTTGTTGTGTTGTCCTGTGTGGTGATAATCCCCACCCATCTGGCACCTTCGGTCAGCAGGCTGAAACAAACTCTACCAAGTATTTGCAAACATGATCTGACCCAGGTTTGTAATCGTGCAGCTGTTCACTTGAAGTCACAGCTCTGCTCTCCCATCAGACAGCTGATCTTCTTCCACCAGGTCTTCGAGAGGCTCTTGATCTTATCAGGAGTCTTCTTCCTCAGAGTCAGCCTCTGCTGCTGGATGCTACAACTGTCTGTTTGCTGGATGCTGGCCAAGATGGCTGAATCAAACGCATCCTTAAGGTTCTTCTGCGTCAGCGCCGAGCACTCTGCAAAGCTCACCGCCCCGAGCTCTTGCGCGAGCAGCTGGCCCTCCTCAGTGCCCACCGGCTGCTGCTGGTTCTGCGCCAGGTGAATCAGCACGTGGACATCTTCTCTCAGGTCCAGCTGGGTGCCAACGAGGACCAGGGGTGCGCCGGGACAGTGCTGACGGATCTCGGGAACCCACCTTTCAATCAGGTTGCGGAAAGAGCAAGGGCGGACCACGCTGTAGCAGAGGAGGAAAACATCTGCGTTCTTGTAGCATAGTGGTCTAATGCGATCCAGCTCATCCTTCATGAGGCAAAGCAGGAAACAGAGAGGCCAGGTTAGAATCAACTTGGCTACTTGCAGGAAAAGGCATTATTCCATATACTTATTGTTGTCAACAAATGAAATTAGAGGAAAAACTCTAAACCAACAATGAGTTAATGTGTCTCAACACTTTCTGACCTCCTGGACCTGTCTGTGGCTTTCGGGGCTATAATAGGAAAAAAAAGTGGTTCATTTGATGTTTTGTCTGAAATCAAAAGTTTTTATAGTTATTCTGAACAGCCACACTGGAAGGTGGAGCAAAGAGATGGCCATCAAAGAGAGGAGGGAGAATAATTCAAATATGTGAATAACGTGGCCCATTTTCAAGCAGTCTCTGGAAGACGTTCATAGGGTGGCATTCGGTTGTTTACATTCAAGCTGACAGAAATAAACGTGTGAAGAATGAAAAAAAATAGATCTGGAGAGAGAAGTTCAGTCCCTGGCTATTTTCTCTACTCCACACGTCTAACCAATCACTGCATGAAGTGAGTGTGAATGTCAGATCACCAGTTTCAGAAAGATACAGAACTGGAAAGACACTGCACCCCCATATTGTGCAAGGAGAGCAGTGTTTTTTTACTGAGCATGTAAATCTTTGAAAACACCTTGCAAATACACAGTTACATACATGCAGGCTCAATAATTTCATAAAACAGCTGGTCACTATAGATTTGAGCAAACATAATTGAAACAGGAGGAAATAGAGCATGTTAGGGACTACTTTCAGTTTCGGATTAATTGGAGCACTAATGAGTATTTGGGGCAGCAGGTCTGTGTATGTGGGATTGGCTCTAAATAAACTACTACTACTGTGAAGCTGAAGTGATCACTGGAGCTCAGATGACTGACTCACCTCACAAATGTTTTCCCTAAAGAATTCACCAATCAGAAGCCAACTTCAGACTGTTTCTTTTTTCTTTTATGTTTTTAAAACATTTTTAAGGGTTGATTAACCCAAATTCCCTTGAAGTTCTCACTCACCTCTAGTGTTATCTGCCATGTAGATGGGTTTGGTTTAATACGCCTTGGTTTGTCTCTGTTTCTGAGATTTCTGGATAATATTTCTTTGCTGAATCCGCTTTCTTCTGAAAAAATGGTCTCTATAAAAACTGTAGACATGAGGTCTGTGTAATATCCAGAGCAACAGGTTACACTGTTTCTGGAAAGACTTTGCTGTAATTTAGATAAATCAACCCTTTAACTACTAACTTCTTTTGTTTTTAAAGGCACTAAACTTTGTTTCAGGTGTTAACAGGGGAAGCTCCTATTAGGAGAAACTGGATGGTGTATAAGTTATTTTGAACAAGGTGGATCTCAAGGTGACACGTGGGCTTAACTTCTGA